CATTGTAGTTGACCAAGAGCTCGTTAACAATAAAACCTGTTAATTATGCACCGCTGCCATTCCCAAGCCAGGTAAAAACAGGTATCAAACTCGTCTTGGTGGGCATTCATATTTTTCAATATATCTCAAAATGACGTTAAATATCAATATTTAAACAACTAAGTTCAAACACGGTCGCGAACATTAATAAAAGAAATTGCTCTCAGGGTATCCTGAAGCATGCGTATGCCCAGGCATTACTTCCGTGGAAGAAAACGTGTTGAGGAAAAACAGGAAAAGAGCGTTATATTAAAGAAAAAATGGGAACTGCTGTAATAAAATGGTTCGTAATCCTAATTCGTTTATGCTTTGAGGATTTGTTTATGAAAGTTATTTCATCTGAAATATTAAATAATTTAAAAGATTTATCATTTTATAACTTGAAACGCAAGTTCTGCGTCTGTACGCAAAACTTTTTGCAAATTTGTAAGCTTTGTCAAACCCAAAAACATGTAGCAGATCAAGGTAAAAGAGCATTGTTTGCTACTGGTAGCATGCAAAAAATCATTAATTTAATGTGTTTACTAAATGTGCAGTTTTACGTACGTTAGTATATTTTAAATTATGCATGGAGATTTAACCTGGTAAGGGATATAAGAAAGCCACAAACGGATTTTTTTAAAGAATGTTGGGTGTAAAAAAGAGCACTACTGATAACTTAGTTCATTGTATATAACTTAGTATATTATGAAAAGCGGGAGATACCCAATTCTTTTAAGTATGAAGCTACAATTTTTTTAATATATTAATTTAAATACCCTCTTCGAAAAATTGTATTATAACACCGTGCTATAAAGATCTCCTCAAGAAAAAAAATTGCTTGGATAAAATTGAGTACGGAATGAACTGGAGACACTTGGCTGGTCATTAAGTTTTCACGAAAATATGTCAGATAACTTTATACTGTCCTTGAAAGAGTAAAGATTGAAAGATAATTTTAGACAAACTTTGACGGGGGAAATATCCACAAAGAGTAAAGGGCTATTGTGCCAACATGTTGTTGAAAATTTTACACTGCAATTCTATTTAAATAAGCTAAGGAACTAATTGCCAAATTTAGACTTTCATCACATAACAGGCGTAACCAGACCTGCAAAAATTGTATGCACAGATTAAAAAAATTACAAGCACGTTCAACAAAATCTAGACTAACGCAAAACATGAAGGACAGCGTAATCACAGCAAATGTACCTCATATAGTGGCTTAATTTCTATTAATAATAAAATCATCATTTAAGTAAAAAATATTCTCGCGATTTAATAAATATTCTAATTTACCCAGAACGGTATATTTATTTAAAAGGAGGCTAACTGAAATATAGTTTTATTATTTGTTTGTGAAAATTGCCCATGTCACCCTGTTAGTTTAAATTTGGAGGTCTAAGCTGGATCAAGTCCGTGTTAAAATTCCTATGAAGCTGTGCAGGAAAAATTCTTCCTTTGTTTCTCTAGCTCCTCGATAAACCCGGTGTTCAGATTTTATCTAGTACCCCCAGGTCTGCGGGAGCTGCTCTTTGAAACTAACGCACAGGTAGATTTTTACCTGAGATAAATATCGCCAGCGAGAGGTTCGATACTCCCAAGACAAAGGCTACAGGAGAATTGAATGCCATTTAACCCTCTAATTAAGAGGTAAAGGAAGTTCCAGTTAGATGGATGATTAAGACAGGACTTGTAAAAGTAACGGGCATTGTTTACCTCAGTTCAATAAAAGTATGCAAGACGGGGTGTCAGCGGTTTAATAAGATAAATTGAATTTCACAAATAACATGGACCTCATATGCAATAATCAACAGTACCCTTTACTCATTCAAATGCAGTGTTTTATATAACTTGGGATAACCATAATTAAATGCTTGTTAAAGAATTGACTAGACGGGAAATGGTTTTACACAGCTTTACGAGGATTTACACCCCTCGGGTAAGAGATTGAATGAGTATAAACTTTTATCAGAAGCCAGAAAAGTAATCTTACAGGTAGTCAATGCAGCTCAGCTTGACAGCTTAGCACGCTCTGTTCTCCGGTGGCACGATTGTCGTCATCGGATCACGTGACCACGTAGCTCATTAACTCCCAGGCCAAATAGGACGTTTTTTAAAGCCAAAAAATTACAAAATGAGCTTTTAATTTGTGTATTTGGATAAAGATATCGTTAGTTGGGCATGTTTTCTGAAGAATATGTTCCGTTCAGGCCATTCTGACGGTGTGTCCATTGTCCTTTAAGACTGATGAAGAGGGCCGATGGCATGTCGAACTATTTCGTGTGAGTGATGATTTTTTCTAAGTTTGTGACGAAAGAGCTTTTCCATGTTTTTGAATACAGTGCATGTAAAAACGGTTGTTTTGCACATTAAAAAAGTGTTCGACATTATTTCCCTTTGTGCGTTATCTCAAATTTCATATTTAGTACATGATATTAAGTCGTATGATGATTAAATGTGTGCCCAAATAAATACTGTGGTTCCTGTGTTAGTATACCTAAATACCTCCATCTTAAACTACTGTGTATATGAAAAAGGAATCAAAGATAACTTTCAGTTAAATTAAAATGATAAGTGCTTATACATGTACATATATGCAGTGGCGGATTTAGAGCTTCGGTTTCTGAAAAATATATCACACCAATATTCCCCTCTTGAATTTAGAATTTTGAGTAGCTGAATCATAGTTCTAAACCATACAAAATGACATCGTTTGCCCTCCAAAACACAAAAAATTTTTGGGGCCTTTGAGCAGGCCCTGAACCCCACGCCAAAGGGGCAATGGTCTGCTTCGCATTCGAGGCCTGTTGTTCCGGAGCCCCTTTTAAATAATCCTGGATCCGCACCTGTATATGCTTGTGCCATGAAAGGGCACTTTTTCTGAACTAAATGTTGTCGCTAAGATATATGGATTTTTGATTGTTTCCATGTAGCGCCCCGGTGGTTACATATTGTGACTAATGAATGCAATTCATCACATGTTCTCTACCGATTAACAAGAAATTGATCGGACTCAAATGTAAATTAATGAAAGTTATTTTAAAACATGATAAGGAAAGAAAGCTTCTGGTCAGATAGTCTAAGCTATCACAGGTCAAATATTGGTAATAATGTTTAGAATGTTAACGAATCTATATATACACCTAATTTTACTAAAAGCGTGTAGGTTTTTATTTGAAAAAAAAAAACGAAAAAAAACCCTATTTCCATAATAGTGGAATCTAGATTGAACTCATAACCTACGCTAACATTATTTGGTAAAAGAGATCTACCACAGACGTGACTGTCGCCATCACGCAGAAAATGCCATCTAGCTAATTGTTTTGCTTTGTACACACAACGTCTTTGTAATATATCCGTTCTCTATGTTAACGCTTTGTAATGCAAAGTCGTTTTCTCCTGACAGCAAGGAAGTCAAAATGGCTCTCTCATTGCGACGATATCGTTTTACTTATTGAGTGTCATTTGCTTGACGTCATATCGTTTGTTACAATAACTGCGATATCCACAACTGATGTTTTTTTTTCAATTGCAAATGAAACAGAAGGTGGTTGGTGATTTTGCAATGCATTGTATTAGGTCCCTGAAAGCAATTATTACAAATACCTTAAAGCATGAAGTGAAATGTTTTGCTTACGGATGTTTTATATCACAAAAAGGTAGACTTGCTCTGATTAATTTGTCTTAAAAGCAACTTTGAAATTTGAACACTGCAGGGTGAAAGCTTTATATATTGATGGATTCATAATTTGAAACGCCGACTTCATTTATTCATCTTTTGAAAATGAAGTAGACAAATGTGTGTGTGTGTGTGTTTTTTTTTCTTTTTTTTTTGCGATTTGTTCTGGTTCAAAAATGTCTTATCAAATTCATTGAGAAGTATTTCAGATATACATGTGTATCCCATAAGTACAAACTGCCGCTACTTGCATAACATTATATTGTACCCCAGGTATATTGTAGAAATGGACAAAATAAAAGACATATTGAAATAATCTAAAGTCCAATAATTATTGGTATCTACCAAGTCCAAATAATGGGAAGTAGTCACTGCTTCACCCAAGTTGTATTAAAGGGCAAAGGTCATGGTGCCGAAGACAACATTTATGGAATATTTTACTTGGTTGTAAAATGGTTTATGAAATCAATTTGAAAAATCGTTCCCATTAAAAATGACTTATTCATATTGAAAGTTTTAAAATATTTCCTATGATTATCCGTATTATCATGTAAATAGATATAAGTCAAAGTTCCATGACAAACGTTTATCGAATTGGTCCTATACATCCGGTCAAGATGGCGCAAATCTTTACCAATTTAAATAGTTCTTTTCAAAGGTTTTCTATTTATATCTTCGTTTTTTTACTTTACAGCCGACCAATAAATTGCCGTTGTAGAAGTCTGGGGATTCCATAATGGTACATGTACAATGTACATGTATATCGATACAGGGGGATAGCACAGGTTTCCCATCACCGGGCTAACATTTCATGGTACCCTTAAGAATGGATCTTTCCCGAACTCTTTAATGATTTAAATTACCCATAGAAAATCCGTATAAAGATAATGTATTCTGTCTCTATGTCCTGCACGAAGTCATAGGCTCAGTAAAATACCGTTTTAATGTGATAACACCACTCACTTGTAGTTACGATGACGAAATGTACGTTGGCGTAATTGGTTTACGATGAGTCTCGAGGCCGCAAACTTCGTCGTCACATGGTCCAATCGCATCTATTTTTGCTTAGAATATCACTATCAGTATTATAAGTTGTTCCATTTGTCTAAATTATTGATATAGCTTGTCCAAACCCGTTTGTAATCTTGGTGTGAGTGCATTTAACGTGCTGCAATTGCATTATTTTCTTTTTTTATTTCATATTTTGTGGATGCCTTAAAGATGCGAAACTTGATTGCTTTTTGTGATGTTAACCGCCATGTGCGTTTAATAGTATTATACTCATTCTGTGTCATTCCAGGTAACCCACAGCACAGCAGCGCCACCAAACGATCAAGATTAACACTGCTGTGTGGCAGTATATAAAGCATCAATCATTTGTGTGGCTTTTACGATAGTCACTATAGAACACTAAGTAATGACTGACTGTGCATTAGGAATGTGGATTTAGCATTGATTCACTCTACGGATATTTTGTATCAAATCTGAGAGACGGCGCTATAGACACAGTAGATAAGTGAGAGGCTTTTGACATAAAGGGAGTCATTTCACCGGATCAGAGCAAATGGATTTTGAAGACGAGACCTATAGAAAAATGAATTTGAAGCGCTGAACGCAATTTTAAGGGATCAGTTCAATTTGTTTTTGATTGTGCAAGAGAAATGATTTGAGGACCAGAGCGCAATTTTATTAATATCTCCACAGATAAGTTATGGTAATGCTAAAACAGGGTTCCCTCCCCTCTCTTTTTGCGTTTAGTGATCGGCATTATTCCCACCACTTAAACCGTTTCTGTCTTATCTATCGAACCCAGCCAATTGGGTTTTTGCTCTGTTCAATTGTCAAGAGCTACGTCTAACACATAATTCGGTTTGGATACAGTGCCATCTCACTGCTCGGATCTATTGGACGCGACAACTTGCTCCTCGTCGCTGGCGCGTGATCAGGTAGACGTTACGATTGGATTCTGACGCGTTTAACTTCACTGACGTCATTTCTGTTGCGGTGGTGCCGCATCGCGCCTTCGGGAGCTGCCACGTGTCGGAGCAGTCTCTCTCCTGGTAAGTGTGAGTGGCAAGTAGCGGTTGAATTTTGGCGCTGTTCCAACTGTCAGTATCTAACTCTGCCTGCCAGGTTCTATGGGTCGAGGACACATGCTGCCCGTGACATAATTGGATTGTGACGCTGTCTTCTTTTTCAAATTCTCTTCATTTTGGCTTATAAGTTAGGTGAGATACTGACACGGTTCCAGATGGATTGGAGCACCGCACAGTAGTGCTACTCTCGCGACATAAGTTAATTTCTTACTGTTTCAGCAGGTACGTTTCCAACCAAGGTGTATCGAATATTCAGCGACGGTTCCGCTCGATCATTCTGCCAAAGACTCACAGTCAATAACCAAATCTGGACTGGGATACTGTGTATGTGTCACAGGGCAACGGAGGGCAGATTTGCGGTAGAATCTCGTCGAGTCATATGCTGAAGCTCAAATTCATCAGCGGGTTCGTACGCGGTGGTTAAAGTTCCAGTACTAAGATAAAGAGAGAGAAGTGACAGCTGGCTTTAAGAATAGCGCACTACGTCTGGGAGATATATATCTGACGCGTAAGTGGTTTCCCTAAGATAAAGTGAAACAGGAATTGAGTTCTGGTATTTTTTGTACAGTGACGGTAGATACACATCTCACACTTAACGGCGTCTCAGTGGTATTAGGCAAAAACGCAAGTGACAGTCATATCGGCTCTGTCGCTCGACGAAGGGACGATGTAACACCTCGTCAGGAGTCAAACAAACAAACTAACTAACTGACTCGCGAGCACACGGAAATATCGGCACAACCTCTCTGCCAGAGAATTCGGCATACCACGGAGGTGTTTCTAGCGCAATGAATTCGTAGCGTGACGAAGCCAGTTGCCCGCGTGCAGTTGGTCGCAACGGACATCTACGGTTTTGCCTACATAATTTTGGCGGCCTTGTCGTTAAATCGACTGTTCTGGTCGTTTCTGCATTCAATAGTTGTACTGTGTGTTATCACCGATCATCAGGAAATGTGCCGTTACGTTTGTGAGGTGTCAAGGAAAGGACGTCTCATGTATTTTGCGTTATCTTTGACGATGGTGTTCGCTGTATTACAGAGTGTGACGCTGAATATAGCGGAGGGGGCTCAAAACCAAACGGACAACTCGTCAGCATTCTCTGACATGAATTATACCCTATATGATTATTTATGGCAAAACGATTTGCCGGATGGGCCAAATGAAACACTGAGTTTTGCACCAAAAAGCACAGAACCTTACGACGCCATGCCCCTCCCGACCTCTCCACCGCCGTCTTCACACAATGCGTCATATAAATCTCAGTTCAATCACTCTGACGACGTTGTCGCCGATTTTCTCGCCAAAGTGGAACAATACGAACGCAACAAACAAGATTGCGATCCCGGCACCCATTTTAACCTAGGCGACGGCGTCATTCAGCAGTACGGCGTGCTGCGGTTTAAAAGACAAGCCCTGGAGGCGGTGACCAGAGCAAATTTCCTGACGAGAATCTGGAAACTGAAAGATTTCTGCTTGAAAGACAATGAATATTTCTTTTACGATCAAGTACGGTCCATGGTTGAAGGCGACCCGGAGATTTTTGCAGCGGGGAATTGTTATGACAAAGACCGTTTTAAGGATTATTATCTTTTCTGCCCGTACTCACACCGACTCCCCAATGGTCAGATTGTGGTGAAGGACCTTTCCGTAAGTTACAAGTATCTTGGAAACACCTCAGAATTCTTTTGGGAGGCCCGCCGGAAAGCCAACCTGTTGTTGGAACATGCCAATTTGACGCAAGGTAAGTTTTTGGTTGGCGTTTCAGTTGAGTTGTATACGTTTTTTTTAGGAAGAGAGAGAGAGAGAGAGAGAGAGAGAGAGAGAGAGAGAGATTTGATTGTCTCAAGAGAAGACAGTGCAATAAAATATTGATTGCACGTAATATGCTGACCTTCCAAGGTTTTAATAATTCTATCTTGATCTTGATCTATTATCTCGTTCGGTGTGTGCATTATTAATAGTCTTACATAATAGCCGAAGAGGTGTACCATGCAGTGTAAAGGCCATATAAGCGTATTGATTTTGGCTCTGTTTGCACCGCCTGTTTGTCTTCCTTTAGGTGCGATATTGGAAATACGACCCGACAAAGGTGGTGGTCTCTACTTTTCATCTGCATTAGTTACGATGAAAACTTATGTCACATGGCTTTTAGATATACGTCAGGGTATGTTAGGGGTGCGATATTGCCACGAAAATACTTTTATTTGTGAACTTTGTTCAAAACGTGAATAGATGGTTTGTGAGTGCGTCACCAACGCTAAAGACGATCTGGCTCAATAGCAGACGATCGGTTGTGGCTGCCCTTCTTTTAACCAGTTCCTCTACCCCCTTAAATATTCTCATGGTTTTAAAATAACAGATATGATAGGATCTATCGAATGATAACTTACTTGGCCTTTACATGAGTTTTCATTCCCCGTTATACATGTATACAATATTTGCGGGATTCCAATTCACCACATTCCATATACAAATTTCTGTGATTTATGAACACAACAAAAGCCTGTGATATCATTAACAACCTTTGTCTTTTATTTCATTAAGATTAATGAAAAACACGTATGATGTGTTGAAGATAACTGACTGAGTAAAAAAATATATCTAGCTAACACCAAATTCTAATTTTAAGTAAAAATTTTAAACTAAATATTAAAATATTTAGCTGATAACTGTTTCCTCACATTAAATATAAAAGACGTGAATTAAGTGAGTCTGGAATATGTGTGCGTGTGTGTGTTGGGGGCTCAGGTTTATCAAATGACACTTTAAAGTGTTAAAACATTTTCCAATGTTAAAGACAAGCCAAAAGGCGCTAATGGACATTAAATTCACTTAGATTCTCATGTGCGTTTACCGCAAGCCCTCCGAGTTCGCCACCCTGTAGCGGAGTATCTATGTATTATCTTGATTTTTTCTCCCACTCCTGGACTTCGTAGATCAGTGAAACGTTCTGACATTTACGTTAATGGCACTGTAATGGTGTAAATGATGCTTTATCGCACAGTGCAGGGTTGCCATTAACTTTGCTATATCGTTTTTATTCCATTTCACATCAAAATTACCAGCCAGGCAGATATAAGTTGCATATAAGAGATTTTAGTTCCCTTCGCTTTGATCTTTCACCATATATATTATATTTATAATTTATAACTGAAATAAGAATTTGAATAAAGAGGCTCATTTGCAATGGTTGGTTAGGGTCTATGCAATTCGTATACGCTTAGTTTAGATTAGATTTGACTATACCCAAAACTGACATACGTGCATTCACATAATGAAATTTTCGCTAAAACAAATGAATTCTTTTGAAATAAAGGAAAATGACAGCACTATACATAAAATTAATAAAAACACATTACAAGTTTTAGGAAGCACTTTCCATTTGCCAATGGCTGTTAGTTGATACATAAGTCATACAAATGTAGACCAAACCCCATACATGTCTAGCACACATCACACGATGGGCAATTTTATTTCATGTACGCATAATTAAAACGGCACCATACATTATATAAGATAGAAAACGATTGTTTTTGCCGCTGCGCTGGGCGAGGGGAGGTGACCAAATTTATTTCTCGGTTTATAACAAAGCGCTGTTAACTTTAAGACTGTTCGTCAGGCAGCTAATCATGACCCAAACCAGTTTGGGTTTAACCTTGCAGTTGAGTGCACCTATTGGTTGTTCATAAGTTTTGACAGCAGGGAAATCCACGTTGAAAAGGTGACTCTGCAGTTTTCAATTTTGTTTTTACTGGGAATTATCCATTTGCTAAACAATGTATACAATGAATATCCTAATGCTTTAGTGGGCGTGTTTTGTCTCAGGAACACTGGATAGAATCAATTAATTTACCATACTCTCCCATTCTCAGTTGAATTGTTGGTTCATTTCAATACCGGGATTGCGTTATTGAATGCTTTCATAGAGCGTGCGATTTAATATAGATACGAACGTATTGTTGACTTTCTTTGACATGTGCTGTCACAAAATGGGTATCAGGCATTTGTTAATCTGACGTTGATTGATACACCACAAAGAATAACAGACGCGTGTACCAAATACACACCAAATTAATTAAAACACAAAATTAACGGTGTTGGTGCTTTGGTATGGTTTCCCCTTTTGTTATTTCCTTAACGCAGAAATATGGAAGTAAATCGCGGTATGCTCTATGATGGTAAATGCATTCTACACAGTTTTTTGTTGTCCTTGTAGTTGTTGTATCTAAGCAATTTATTGGACAGAAGCATCTTGTACGTAGGTCTCACTTTTTGTTGATCTCATTTTAACGTAGATACCAGAAAAAGAAAAAAAGATACCAGAACCAAGTGCATGAAACAGTGTCATTACTGGCTGTAAGTCATCACTTAAACGTTTAGAAAAACGCTGTGTACAATGCATACACTGATTGAACTTTTATAGCGGCATCAAGTCAATATATACTGACACTGACTCCCGAGAGCGAAATACAGTATATTTTACAATCAAACAGTCAAATGATCTCTAAAATTGACAAAGTCAAAAACCTATTGATCAACAGCATCTTGTTGCTTTTCTGCGCGTATAGGAGAGAAATCACTAATATTTACAGTCAGGATCAATTCTTAAACTGAAAAATTCTTGAGGGTAGGTGCATACTTGCTTCAATGTGGCCCTTATTTTATTGATTATGTACGTGCCCTGACGAAGTAATTCACAACGAAAATGATATTGCACATTGCACGCGTTCCGAAACTCCCCCCTAACTGAGTAGCTGATTGGATTGGGCATAGTTGATGCGATATGCTATTGCTCGTGCAAGGTGTAACATTAGCAGTGCCATCATGAAATGTTTCGGTGCGTATGGCGTTTTCAATCACTGTTCATCAGTTTCAAAATCGCGGATCGCTGCGAAGCAAAACTAATGTCACATTTGCAAGAGTAGAGACTGAATATAATAAAATCACCTGCATATTGTATCTAAAAATGCAACCTACTTATCAAAGTACAGCACTACTTAATGACAACCTACAATGGTGGTACTGAAATTATAATGTTTAAGAAATGAGAACTAATAATTATCCACCACTATATAACATAAGCCTGCCCATAGGGAATAACCTTATGATGTATTTTTATCGATTTTATTTTAAAAAAGCAGTAAGGCGCTGCACTATAGGGAAAGGACACTTGATTGCAACACCCTATTTGGACTCCTCTGTAATAATAATATCTGTTCCTGTTTTCGGCGGTAAACAATGTGAACAGTTTACTGAGGTAATTAATATATAGGAGTCTGCACAGACATCCGTTCTGTTTCAGAGAAAAACCTGTATATTGTTAGTTAAGTTGATGACAACACGGCTCTGATCGAAGCAGAAAGTGGCATGTCAATGCTTTATACGTATTTACTTATTTATTCCTTATATCATTGATAATTACTCATGGGAATGTGATAAAAAGCACTAACCATTAACCACAACCCTATTTAGTTAAAATCTGAAAATAAATCCCATAAATCTTTGTCGAAAAGACGACATTTTCGCTTGGTTTTAGCACGGTTTGGGAATGCTCTGAATATTTTTATCCGGTTATATAATTAATAATGCAAATTATGACCGGTGATAGTAATTTCCTCATATAAAAGGCCTCTCTTTATTGGATTGTAAGCACAATGGATTATCATTTGACTAAGTTGAGATGCACGTTCCTGCATGGAGATAAAGACATTTCTTCTTTCCATTCAAGATCGATCACAAAGGCGGAACTAACGGGCAAAGTTATCGATAAGACCAAGAAAGTGGAATCATAAGTAAATATTTAAACGTTTGCTCAAGAGAAAGAAATGACTCTATTGTCCACCTTCTAGATAATAACTCAGAAAATTGAAACACTTGAACAAATTGATGATGACCGTTTTTATTACTTCAAGGTGGCTGTCCCTCAGGCCATTCTGTGTTTATAGAGCGATGCGAATATGGCCTCCACCCACTGCACGTGATAGAAAAATTGATATCACAGATTACAAGTTGTTAAAATATAGATACAACATGAAGATAAAAAAGAGAACTCTAAAAACTTTTAAAAATGCGCCCTTTGTGCAGGTATACGTAATAAAACATTTATAAACAAGTCATAAAAATCGTGCGGGCGAGGGAATAATTGGCGAGAAATACCATGGTGCGGAGTTTTGAAATCGCTTTCGATGTCTTTCGCCTTCCAAACTGAGAATCATTCATTTAATTCTTTTGAAACACTTAGACTCAAAAGTTTTTTTCAGAGCCTTGTTTTTTCTTCTGTCTTGGGATTTTGGTCGTCCCGACCGAGGTTCTATCATTTCTCGACACATTAAGTTTCCATGCAGGCCGTCTAATCTCATGTTTTTTCCACAATTGCTTGCGTAATATCGATACACAAATCTTCCTTAATGCCTTTAAATGCTTGTGGCTATGAAAGCGCGTCCCAAGGGTTCTCTGAGCGTGTAGGTATAGAGCACACCGAAAAGCGGGAATGGTAATTTAAGGGCTCATCGGTGGTCAAAGATCTTTTCAAAGTATACGAGAGCTCTCTTTCATAAAGGTCAATTCAGAAAATTTAATCCACGCACGCTTCATAGATCAATCTTTACCGTATGCTCATCGCTTTTATTGCCTGGTAAAAAGAAGCTATTTTATACAATATAATGGGACATTTTTTCAGAATAATGGAAACTGGGAAAACCGCAGGAACTCATGTTTCGGCACATGCTGTTGTGAGGACAA